AGCGGACACCGAGGACACCATGCAGGGCGAAAAGGCGAGCCGGATGCCCGATGGGGGTGTCGGCCCAGGCTGTCAAGGAGGTCCTCGGCGAGATCCCCCCGGGGCCCCAAGCGCTCTCCGAGTGGATTTTGCCCGCGGCGTGACGAACGCCAATTCCGAGTGCGCTGAGGATTTCGAGACGGTCAAGGAGTTGCCAGCCGAGGCCAAGGCCTTCTTCGAGAAGGTCAAGGACTTCCACCCTGACAGGGTCAAGAACGAGCGCGTGGCCATGACCAAGGCCATCGCCATGCGGCGCTGGCAAGTCGCGCGCATAAGCAGCGCCAACTCGACGAGCGCGAGTACCGCGCCGAGCGCGCCAAGCTCCGCGAGGATGCCGAGGGGCAGGAGGCAGGCGAGCACGATAATATGCTCATCGAGATCTACGTCAAGAAGAACTTCCCGAAGTACGCCGAGGCCCACGGGAAGTGCGCCGAGCTGACGGCCGAGAAGGGGGCCAAGAAGTCCGAGGCGGAGGCCCGAGGCTTACGCGAGGCCTGATCGAGGAGCGAGCGGCGGGCAAGGCCCAGCTCCCTCGAGCTTCTCGAGAGGCGTTCCCCGAGAGACCTGTCCAGGCCCCCTCTCGAGCGTAGAAACGTCGATCGATCCTCGATCGATCTTCGGATCGAGGCTCCGAGGGCCTCGGGCCGTCGCGGGTCCGAGACCGTGAGATCTCGGATCCCTGGCCCGAGGACATCGGGCTCTCGATCCGAGGGTCGATCGAGGATCGAGCCTTGTCCTCAAGGTCTTCCTCCTCTTCGATCCCTCAGTCGGGGCTCAATCCTTGATCGATCCTCGGATCGAGGGTCCAAGAGCCTCGGGCCGTCGTGGGTCCGAGATCATGAGATCTCGGATCCCTGGCCCGAGGACGTCGGACTCTCGATCCCAGGGTCGATCGAGGATCGGGCCCCACCAACAAATATCATGGCGAAGGACCTAACCATATGCACTTGTGAGTACCGCAATTGTGAACATCTTCTTCGGTGGAGCCCCCCACACGGGGCCACGAAACGCACGAGGGGTGTGCCGAAATGGAAGTGCGGGACGCATGCGGGCACACCCACTGGGGCCTTCGGTGGAGCTCCCTATGGGACCACAAAACGTGTGAGGGGTCACGAAACGCGTGAGGGGTGTGCCGAAATGGGTGTGCGGGGCGCATGTGGGCACACCCACTGGGGCCTTCGGCGGAGCTCCCTATGGGGCCACGAAGCGTGTGAAGGGTATGCCGAAGTGGGTGTGCGGGGCGCATGCGGGCGGCAGCGCTGAGACCTTCGGTGGGGCCCCCTACGGGGCCACGAAACGCACGAGGGGTGTGCCGGAATGGGTGTGTGGGACGCATGCGGGCACACCCACTGGGGCCTTCGGCGATGTGGGCTCGAGAAGATCAAGGCGAGGACGCGCCAACTGCCGAGGCCCAGAAAGAGCAGAAGGCGTGGCGCGAGGGAGTCGAGAACGCCGAGCACCTGCTCATCTGCGTGCAGATCGAGAATCCCTCGCATTACGCCGACTTCAAGGTGACCAAGGAGGGCGCCAACGTGGCCATCGAGCACCGCGACGCCCTCAAGCAGCCGTCCAAGAGCGCCGAGGATGCAGCCACGAGGGCCCTCCGCAAGCTCGGCGTCGTCGGCTCTGACGGGGAGCGCCCTTGTCCGATCGACGCGAGGTTCCGAGTGGACGCGTGGTCCTGCGGCCTGCGGGTGACGAGGTGGACCGCGCGCGCCCTGCGCGAGCTCCGCGGCTTGGGCCGCCAGACGCCATTCGGCATCGCATGCGAGTGACAACGCGGCCGCCAAGGCAAAGGCCAAGGGCAAAGCCAAGGGCAGGGCGAAAGCCAAGAGCAATCACGCGGATCCGCTGGAGGCCGAACCCAAGCATCCGAGCCTCGAGGCAACCCTGGCGGCAGCGAAGGACTGCAAGAAGTGCGAGATGCAGAAGGACGGCTCCAAAGGGTGACGAGCGTGCGTGGGCGAGCACTTCGTGGCAGTGAAAAAGCGCGGATTTGCAGCGAGGGCCGCCAAAGAGTTTGAGGCGAAGATCATGGACATCTGGGTGCGAGCAGTCAGATGTCGAACGCCACTGTCGCTCCAAGTGTGTTCCCACTCGAGGTTCTCGCAAACGCAATACTATTCCGGGGATGTCCCAAACAATATAAGCAAGTGTTCGAGGATATCTCAAGCGAGACAAATAATTATTTCGAGGATGTCCCAAGCGAAACGTAATTAATTATAGGGTTGCCCGGGCGAAGCAAACAAGTAGCACGAGGAGGCCTCAAGCGAAGCGAGAGATTTGCCGAGGATGTCTCCAGCGAAACAAGCATGTATTCGAGGATGTCTTAGGCGAGGCGAGAGATTGGTCGAGGATGTCTCAAGCGAAACAAGGATTTATCTGAGGATGTCTCAAGCGAAACAAACATGTTTTGAGGATGTCTCAAGCGAACCAACCATTTTTTTGAGGATGCGTTAAGCGACGCTAGAAATTTGCCGAGGATGCCTCAAGCGAAACAAGCATTTACGAGGATATCTCAAGCGAAGCGAGAACGCTTGCGAGAATGCCTCAAGCGAAACAACAAATTCTTCGACGATGTGTCATGCGAAACAAACAATTATTGCAAGGAGGTCTCAAGCGAAACAAGCAATTGTTTTAGGATGTCTCAAGCGAAGCAAACAATCGAGGATGTCGTAAGCGAAGCGATATATTTGTCGAACATGTTTCAAGGGAAACAAACATTTATTCGAGGATATTTCAAGCGAAACAAAACGCTTTCTCGGGCATCGATCTTCGACCCTCGGACCTCGATCCTCGATCTTCGGACCTCGCCGCCGTCGATCCTCGCACCTCGATCCTCGACTCTGGAATCTCGATCCTCGATCCTCGGACTTCGATTTTCGATCCTCGATCCTCGGCTTTCGGTCCTCTTAACATCATCTTTTTTTCCTCCCACATGCTGGCCTCCGGCAGGCAACATTTATACTCCCCTCGCGACCCCGAACTTTATTTTCCCTGTGGGATTACTCTCCGTGGTGTTCGGTTATGTGTGCCTACTCGGGCGCCGTCGCTGGGCTTCTTCTGGCGGCTCTGCAACGGTGAGCGTTGGCGTGAAGGCATGACTTTGGTTTGCTGTACATCGGGCTACGTCGTCGGCGTGATTTCGGTCCTCGTCATCTCCGCCTTCGCTCCTGTGCTGTTGGCGTCATCATCCTCTTCGTTATCAATGCGGCCGTGCCAGTTGAGCTTCCGCTCCCGAGCTTGGCGGCTGTGCTGAAGACGGCCCCCTCGGTGGCCAGTGTCGCAGTGCCAATGGGATACCTTCGGGCATTGCGGCATGGCGGCGGCAGTGGTGCTTGGGATGCGCTCGTGTTTACGTTTCCTCTTTGCAGTCGTATCGGATGCTTTGCTGTTCGCCCTATCACTTGCACCTTCTAGGTGTCGTGCTTTGCGCTCTCACCTGCGTGGGGTGCGGCACCTCGGGCCGATCGTCATTGTCTGCCCGTCCCGCTCGTCAAGCCCCTTGGGGTCCGCCCGCCCGCCCTACTCGCCGGGGCCCGCCCGACCCGCCTTGGACATGGCCTGTCGTCCAGACCCACCCGTCGGGGTCTGCCCGTTCGCCTGCTCGGGCGCTCGCTCGCCCGCCCGCCCGACCCCAACGCTGGGGCCCGCCCGCCCGCTCATTGGGGCCCGCCCGCTCATCGGTCGTTGAAACTAGGCATTTTTGGATTCCCAGATTCCAATCTACTTTAAGCGCTTTCCTACTTCAATGATCGAGTGGTTTCCCCTCTTCCCTCCTCTTTGGGGGGCGGACGGAACCCAATCTACTTTCAACGCCTTCCTACTTCATGTTTCTGCCTACTTCTTCCGACCGATGGGCACAGCTTGTCGGTTGTCGTACAGTCGGCCCGGATAACTAGGTCGACCCTGCCAGATCAAAGGTACCCTCGTGTCCTGTGTCTTGCGACCCATGCCTCTTGCATTTCTGTGACAACGTGGCCCTCGGAAGGATCTTGTGTCCTCTCGCGTGCCCTCTCCAATCGAGTCCGACTGTACCGTGGAGTTGGCATGAAAATCATGGTAACCTTGTGTCCTGTGTCTTGCGACCCATGCCTTTTGCATTTCTGTGACAACGTGGCCCTCGGAAGGGTCTTGTGTCCTCTCGCGTGCCCTCTCCAATCGAGTCCGACTGTACCGTGGAGTTGGCATGAAAATCAAGTGAGCCCCACCAAGGGGGCAGGGCACGCTCACATACGGAACGGGTAGAAGTCCTGGGCCGGGGGTGTGCATGTTGGGTGCCAGTCTTAAGTCGATGATTGAGGATGAGAGGGATGAGGAGGTAGAGTGTGGAGGAGCAAGAGTCTGCACGCCCGAAATGGGCACGGAAAGAATGGGTACGATGCCCAACAGCAATTCCTGTTCCTTTTGAACAGGACTCGCTGTCCGCGCCGCCGCGGCCTGTGTTCATTCGAGACAGAAGGCCGCCCGCCCAACAGCGGCCGCTGTTTGTTCGGGACAACATTTGCTGTTGGGCATTGTGACCATTGTTTCCGTACCCATTTCGGGCGTCCAAAATGAGCATGAGGAGGGGAGGGGGAAGAGGCGGAGGAGGAGGGAGGAGGATGAGCAGGAGCAGGAGGAGCAGGAGCAAGAGGAGGACGAGCAGGAGCTCGGGATCAAAAGCGGGTCTGGTCAGCGCTGGGGTCGGCCGAGCCTTTTCGGGTGATGCGGTGATGCCTGGGAGGCCCGAGTGCTGACCCGACTCGATGTGGCCCTGGGGCGGCAGCTCCACGGCTGGCTGATCAGGTCAGGGTTCGGGCGTCTCTGCTAGCATTGGAGCAACTTCCTTGGTACCATGCGTTGGCATGGCTGCTTCCTGTTATCACGGAGGAGACGGAGGAGGACGGCGACGACGACGACCTCCTTGGGTTCCAGAGCGCCCTGATGTGTTCCCGCGCTCCTGGCCCCTCCCCGGGAAGGTGCTGCCGCTGCAGGAGAAGAGCGGGGGCGGCAACAGGGCGTGCCGTGAAAGGCCAGCCTGCGGCCGCCCCGTTGCTTCCCTTTGCGGGGGGGAGGGGGAAGGTGCTGATGGTGATGTCGGTGGTGATGACGGTAATGATGGTGGTCATGTTGCTGAGGATGAGGATGAGGATGAGGATGAGGATGAGGATGAGGATGATGTTGGTGGTGGTGGTGACGATGATGATGCTGATGTTGTTGATGATGATGATGATCAACATCATCATCATGATGATGATGACGATGGTGATGATGATGAAGATGCTGCTGCTGATGATGATGATGATGATGCTGAACATGGTGATGGAGATGGCAATGGTGATGGTGATGATGGTGGTGTTGGTGATGATGGTGGTGGTGATGGTGGTGGTGATGGTCATGAGAACGAGGCGGAGAGGGATGGGGAATGGGCGAAGGTGAGATGAGGAGGAGGATGCGGATGAGGAGGAGAACCCAAGGCTCATCAACGGTGTTGGAACGAACTCTCCCTCCAAGCTCCCTCTTCATAGGCCCCTACAAGCGTTCATTTCCATGGAGGGAAGAGCACCGTTGGGAGACACCGTTTGAAGATCCTGAAGCTTGCCAGAACGCAATTCTCGGAACTTCAACATCACGAATCAACCTGGCTGTTGCGTCTTGACGGTCCTGAATCGTGCCAGAACGCAATTCCTGGAATTCCAGCATTTCGAATTAACGTAACTGTTGCGCCCTAGCAATCCTGAACCGTTCCGAAGAACCGTTCCTGGTTCGCTAACCATTGGAATTGGTGATGCTCTTGCAAATGCTACAGGCGAATGTGCGCGGCGCTTAGGCGAGAGCCACATCGTGAAAAGGAACCGCCCTCGATCCGTGAAATGCTTTCACATGTTTAAGACGACTGTGCGCGGCGCTAAGACGAGCGCCACATGTTGCAAACCGCCCGCCCTTAATCCGTGAAGATATTGGAACTGTTAAAAAACGAACGTGCGTGGCGCTGAGGCGAGAGCCGCATTTTGGAAGCGGCCCGACCTCCATCTATACTGTTGCCAAGTTCAAAGCTTCAGGACCATACATGGTCCAGGGCTTGGGCCCCCCCCCAATGCTGATGCCATTGGGCCCCCCCCCCCGCGCGATGATCCCCCCCGCCCCCCCCTGTGGGCGTGGCGTGGTGCTGTGCTGCGGCGGTGCCCTTCCCCCCTGTGGATGTGGTGTGGTGCTGTGGTGGTTCAGAAGCGGGCGTGGCGTGGTGCTGCGCTGCGGTGCCCCCCTCCCCCCCCCTGTGGATGTGGTGTGGTGCCGTGGAGGTCCAGAGGTCGTCGTCCTCGTCCTCGTCCTCGTCGTCCTCGTCGTCCTCGTCGTCGTCGTCATCGTCGTCATCGTCGTCATCGTCATCGTCGCCGGCTGCCGCCGGCGTCGTCGCCGCCGCAGCCGTCGTCGTCGTCGTCGTCGTCGTCGTGGTCGTCGTCGTCGTCGTCGCCGTCGTCGTAGTCGTCGCCGTCGTCGTCGTCGCCGTCGTCGTCGCCGTCGTCGTCGTCGTCGTCGTTGTCGTCTCTGGGAACATACCATCTGGGGGGGGGGGGCGCCCGAGGAATCCTGGGACCATGCCATCTGGGGGGGGGGGCGGCCCGTGAACCCTCGACCCTGGATCATACATGGAAGGAATCTCAGGCGAAACGCCTGGCCCGCCCTTCCGACTGGCCTCGGGGTGCGACAGGGAGGAGTTATTCAGAAGGAAAAGGAATGGAGGAGGAGGAGAAGGAGGAGGAGGACCTCCTCCTCCCATTTCCTCTCGTCGTTATTTGTTCGCCAGTCTTCGGGGACCCGCCTCGTCGCCAGTGGTTCCCATATCAAGGTTTTGGAATGCTTTCTGCGCGCTTTTGAGTTTACGGAGGCCTCCACAAGTCCCAGGACCTCGTTACGTGTAGGCCTCTGGGGCCCGCCCGAGGAGGGGGGGGCAGGGGTTGCGAATGATCGCCCCTACTCGCCCGTTCATCGCCGATGGGGGCCCGGTAGTCCCGGCCCTCCCAGGAGGGTGCGATTTCGCTATTCGGGACCCATCGCCGATCTATCTGCGAAGTATCGTCGATTTCAGGTCGATGTTTCCCCCCAGAGCCAGACCCCCCCTGACGTTGCCCGTCGCCCGCCCCCGCTCTCTCAAACGCCGCCCCTCGAGACACGCTGCGAGGCCTAGCAACACGCCGCTTGAGAGAGGACGGGCCCTGGCGGACACCCCCACTCGCCCCTCCCCCCCAGCCCACTGTCCGGTTTTTCCTTTTCTTCCTTCCTCCGCTTGTGAGACATACAGCATGCTCCGCAACCCTTTCGGCTTCAGGGGCACTCGCGTGCCCAGTGACTGCTTTACCGTTTGTGCTCTCGGGGAGTGCTCTAAAGATATCCGCTCGCACATGTGATCACTGTGTCTCCCATGCCAGCTGACAATGGTAGCCGGAGCGTGGACGAGGCCACAGGGGAGCATGACGCCGGGGGTAACCTGCAGGAGCTAACTACTGAGGGTGCGGGCGCGGGTCAGAGTCAGCCCGTAGCACGCGAATCCCATGATGTACCCCCGCCGGGTACTGAACATTTCTACGGTAAGGATCCCTGGAAACCACCCGAGCAGGCCGCAGCCAGTCGAGCCGAAACCTGGTGGGATCAGAGCTGGAGAGACTTCCAATGGCCGCCTTCTCAGTGGAATCACAGGTGGTCATGGGGCAGTTGGGACAGTTCGACAATACCACGGAACAAGGACTACTCCGCTCCGCCGCCCTGGCTGGGAATGGAACACCTGAAGCTGTACACCTCGAACATCAGAGCAGGACAGCCTTTCGCAGAGAGGTTCAGGCGAGGCGAATCCTTGAGACCTTCCCAGTGGAACTCCAGGCCAAGTTCCAGGCCATACGGCCTACGCTGGACCAGAACGACGGCACCGCCAAGCTGATCTCACACTTGGAGCCTCTGGCCGGACAAAGGCCAGGAGACAAAGAGAGGGAGGCACATAACGAAACGATGTTTGATTTCTCCATTAGGAGAGGAGAAAGCCTGACGGATTTCATAGTTCGCAGAGACAATCAGGTGGCCACAGCAGAATGAATGGGGTTGGTGCTTCCCGACTCCGTTAAGGCAAGGTACTACGAGGAAGGCTGTGGTCTCAGTGGACAGAATCGGGTGAATTTACGGGCGCTGCTCCACGGCCGCCGAGACTTCCAGTCAGTACGAGTTGCGATCCTGGAGTTGGACGTCTCAGAGAAGCAGGTTCTTCCGAAACCGACGACGGCTCAGAGCTCTTCGAAGCCGACTTTCGCTGTCACAGAGGAGCCTGCCGAGGACGAAATAGAGCCAGATGACGAGACGTGCACTCCGATCTTCGAGACCGATTTCGAGGAGGAAGAGCTCAATGCCATTTTGATTTCGCTTGACTCCCGGGACCTGGCCGAGGATGAGATAGCGACGCCGAAGTGACTTCGGGCATTCGCCGCAGGATTTGGCAAGAAGCTAGGGCCCAGAAAAGCAACGAGAAGGTGGATCGCGACTTCTTCGACCGTCGCCGAGATCCTAAGGGAGCTCAGAAGGGAAAGAACTTCCGCAGAGTCAATCGAGACGACTTCAAGCGTCGGTCTCGGTGCTCCAATTGCGGGGGCAAAGGGCGCTGGAGAGAGGACTGCAAGAGGCAGCTTAGAAGCAGGGCCGACATAATCAAGGAAGAAGCCTCTGCAGGAGCCTCGTGCTACTTCAATCTCTTGTCGGACGCAGATCAGACGGGCTGTTCGCGGGCCAACTTCGACGATTTCTTGGACTTCGCCGAGCTCTCGAGTGTGGCCGTCCCCTCTCGTGACGAGATCTCACTCGCCAGCGTGGGCAGCTCAGCTTTGGTTGATGCGGCCGCTGGACAAGCGCTGGTGGGATCTCCGGATCTGGAGCGAATGGTCGAGGCTTTCAAGAAGCGCGGCTACAAGGTCCATGCCAACAAGGGCGAGTCCAACCTCCCGGCCGCGAACGGAGTTGGCGGCAAGTCTACTCCTGTCGGCAGGGCTCTCGTTCCAGCTTTTCTGGTCGGATGTGCTATCGTCGAGTTCCTGGTTTGGGATCACTCCCGGCCTCCGCTGTTGCCAGCGAGGTGTCTTAGTCTCATTCACGCCGCAGTGGACTTGCAGCGAGATGTTCTGTCAGTGGGCGAGGGGGGGAATCGCGAAGAGATACCGTGATCAGATTTCCCTCAGGTCATCGCGCAGTGGACTTGATTTGGTGCGATCCGTCTGACTTCAAGCTGCGCCCCGACCCAGCGAAACGCTTTCCATCCTTCAAGGACTCGAATGTCGTGCATTTTGGAAAGCCAGTGGAGCTGGGCGACTGCTGGTCTTTGCAGGTTGGCATCCTTTGTCGAGTGCACGTTAATCCTCGAGAGACTTGGTTTGATATCGCAAAGTGATTGGATCTGCCGGTCTCCTCGCCTGATCTGCTCAGCCTGGCGACCACGACCTGCCAGTTCGTGGGCGACGAGGCCGGTCGGACCTGCGTCTACGAGAGGGCCGACCTCAACTCGCACCAGCCGCCGGGCCGCTGGGTCGGGCAAGCGGACTTCAGGATTCGCGAGGGCCGCAGTGGGGAGTTTAGGGGTCGGATCAGCCAGTCTCTTTCAGCGTCAGCTAGTTCTTTTCAGTCTTCTCTCTTGATGTCTCTCTCGAGTCAATGCCTCAGATGGCCGGGCCAGGTCGGCGGGTCCAGGACAGGCAGACACCCAGGTTCAGCGCGCCCGAGCCCCCCTCTGCAGCGCCCGGCTCAAACCAGCAGCTCCGCGATCGTCCCGGCGCGCAGTCGGACCAAGATGGCGGTTCAGAAGCCCCGGTCGAAGCGCGACCGAGTTCGTGCCGCTCGGACCTTTCGCGCCCTCAAGATGCGCGTGGACTGCGTCGATCCGGAGACGGGGCCCTTGGCGACTCTGGAGAACGAGGACAGCGAGACAGACGCCAATTGGGACATGCCTCCGGACCCCTGGGTCGACGGGGTGCTGGAGGGCGTCGACCTCGCGGAGGAGACGATGAGCGACGTCGAGATGGAGCTCTTCCTGGAGGGCCAGTTCATTCTGGCTTCCGCAGCGCGGGTGTGGAGGCGTTGGGCGATCAAGATGCTAATGGTGCTGCGCCTTGCTGCGGACCCCAGGCTTCTCTCAATGCTGGTTCTGAAGATCAGCGTGCTTCGCCTGGGCGCGAAGAAGGAGAAGGACGAGCCCAACCAGCACTTCTGCCCGCGCCTTCCAGGGTTCCATCGCCGCGGAGACAACCCGCATGGATACTGGATCAGATGCCTGACCTGCTACCAGCGCATCGACTTCGCGAGGTACAAGGCGCCCCCCACCACGAGGCCGTCGCCGACGGCTCGAAAGTCAGGACTGCCGGCCCCAACAGCGCCTCCGGTCCAGGACAGGAGCGGTCAGTCCAGCAGGGCTATCGAGAGCGGGGAGAGCGACTTGAACGAGCTCGGCTGGGTTCTGCTAGAGGAGCGCCAGGAGGGGCCAAGCAGATGGACGGTCTCGTCGAGTTGGCGCAAACACTGGCCGCGGCGGTGAATACGTCGTCAGGGGCGGCCAGCTCGAGCAACGATTGAGTTCGGAGCAGGATCGCGCCGTGCGAACCAAGGTGCTGAAGACATCCCGGTCGGCTTCGGCAGAGTCGAGGCGCAGTTCTGCGCCTCTAGACGCTTGGCGTGGGAAGCCTGAGCCAGGCGAGAACGGAAACATCATCTTCGTCACAGTTATCCTTCTCCACCTCCTTTCATTTGAAGGCTGATAATCCGAAGCATCGAGGGATCCTCGAAAGGCTTCCAACGTCCTCCGACGGACTGTGGACTGCCAGGAGCTTCTGGACCACTCTTCGGAGGTTCAAGGGTCTCCTAGGGGTTCGGAAGCCCCGGGTGTCAGGAGCCCTTTGGGATCTGTCTCGGGAGAGGCCTGCGAGCCCAGAAGAGGTCTCTCGTCGCCTCGGCTGGACGCAGCGCCATGCTTCCCGTCACGAGCAGGGGGTGCGGTTCACGTCTTTGGACCTCAGAGGTTCAGGATATCAAGCTCCCGATCCCCTCGCTCATGCTGGCTGGATCGAGCTGGTGAATGAGGTCTCTGGGGGGACTTGGCGGTCTCGCTCAGCGTCTGTGGGATCTCGGGCGTCTTGCGAGGAGTCTCGAGCAGTGACTTGGGCCTCGCGTGGTGGACGGGGGCTGGTGCAACCGCGGGGGGCTTAGACGGCTCCAGCGACCCCCATCGAGGCCCTGGCTGAGGGCGCGGTTGGGCCCGGAGTTCATCCAGAAGATGGGGCGCTGAGTCTGGCGGCGCCGGGCTTAGTGCACGCCCCGGGCTTAGCACTGCCCCGCGACGCGCTCAACTGGGTCTTCATCGGGCTCGAGGAGGACCCCATGCAGGAACCCATTTCTTTGGTAAGTGTTCCTCGAGTGGTCCGACGGGAGGCCACCGGGAGTTTCGGGGGATCTGGCATCGAAAGGGAAAGAAGCTGTCTCGAGGATATCTGGCTGCTGAAGCCAAGAGACGCGGTCATACTCTGTGTCTGGACTTGTTCTCTCCTCCCAGGGCTTCGGAGGAACTGAGCCGATGGGGATTTCCCGTGAGCGGTGTCGGCGATAAGGAAACGGGTGGGGATCTGAGACGCCTGGGAGATCGCAGGACGCCGTGGCGCAATATAGAGAGATAGAGGCCGCTGTTTGTGGCCGCGCCTCCTCCCTGCACTCTCTTCAGCCAGGCCTGGACTACTCCCAGCGCCGACCCTGTCGAGCAGACCAGGCTCGAACAGGGGGCTCTCCTGTATATGTCGATCTGCGCCCAGGTGGCTGAGTATCAGGTTGCCCAGGGAAGGATGTTCTTTCTGGAACATCCGGAACCCGCCAGCAGCTGGGAACTGCAGTCGATAGGTAAGCTCTCCAAGTAACGGGAAGTGGGTACTGTCGTGGCCGACCAGTGCGCGTTTGGCTCGAGCGTGGCCCCGGGAACGCTGTCCAAAAAGCCTGCCTTGACCAGTGCTCCTCTCTTAGCACTGTGTGACAGGCAGTGCAGCGGAGGGCGCGAGCATCTCTCTCTGGTCAGCGGCGGGAGGACTCGCGCCGCTCAACGGTATCCACCGGCGCCGGTGGAGGCCGTCGCCTAGGGAGTTGAGCTCCGGACTTCTCCTGAGAGCCAGTTCTAGTTTTCCTGTCTCAGTCGAAGAAGACTCTCAAGTAGCTAACGCCGGCGCCATCTCCGTTGACTCTGATTCCGAGGATGACGTTGAGGGACCCCCAGAGGTTCCGCTCGAGGATCAGAAAACCATTCCGACCACACCGGAGGCCGAGTCTCGCCTGGTGGCCCCGAGGCCCAAGGATCGATCGTTCGACGAAGCCTCCAAGGACATTCAGAACGAGATTCACAAGCCTGACGTGAATCTGGGACATCCTCGCAAGTCTGAGTTCGCTCGAGCGCTCAGGGTGGCGCGAATGAAGGAGGAATGTGTTCGATGGGTTTCAGAAGAATTTGAGTGCTCCCGATGCCATTCGGAATCAAGACCTCACTGGCGCAGAAAGGCCCATCTCCCCAGAACTTACAGGTTCAACACATTGGTGGCTATGGATGTTCTCTTCGTTCCTGCTTTCGGCGCTCAGGTCCCGATCCTTAACATCAGAGTCTATGATTCATAGACCACGGCACCAACCTCCAGATCTGCACAGTTAGAAACTGCCACGGCTGATCAGGATCGGGATTCGAGGCCAGAGTGATTCGAGGACTCGAGGAGTTAGGCATACTTCATCACATTTGCGATGCTGAGAGTCCGCGGCAGAACGGGAGATGCGAGCGTCACGGCGGTCTCGTCAAGAAGGCTTTTTTTGAGGCCATGTCCTGCGTTTCTTTGAGGGATCGACAGGGGCTCGAAGATCTGCTGGCTCACGTCATCGCCGCCAGGAATAATTACTCTCATCGAGGCGGCTATTCCCCCTACCAGCTGGCCGTCGGAGAGAGCCCGAGACGTCCGCGCAGTTTGCTATCCGATGATGCCGTAGACGACGTAGGAGTCTTTGACCTTGCCCGAGGGACTCAGGCCGCGGACGGACCTGCCGCCGCATTTGCTCGCAAACATCGGTTCAGGGAGGAGGCCAGACAGGCCGCGATGTCTCTGGACGTTCGGGATCGCCTCAGAGAGGCCAGTAAGGCTCGCCACCACTCGGATCAGAAGTTCGTTCCAGGAACCTGGGTTTACGTTTGGCGTCGTCCTACCAGGTCCTCTCGATCCCGTTGGACGGGCCTTGGGGCAATCGTTTATCACCAGTGGGTGGCCATGCGCACTAGGCTTCTGAAGTGCAGTGTCGAGCAAATCCGCTTAGCCTCTCGCGACGAGGCCATGGAAGCTGAACTGTTGGACATGAATCGCAGGAAGTCGTTGAGAGAGGAGCTGCTTAATCCTGGGGGCCGCATTGGAGCCATTGACGTCGTGGCCGAAGGGCCCCCCCCCCCTCCTGAGGCGTGGGATCAGAGCACTGATCCAGCGCCAGTCTAGCACCCCAGAGTACCCGAGGGGTCTCATCAGCCGCCTGTTGCTGCTTCTCCGCCCGTTGAGACGGGCGAGGTGCCTCGTGAGTCTCTCGAGGGGCCCACTCGTGAGCTGGCGCCTCCGATTCAGGAAAGGGTGTCAACGCTTCCTCCTCTGCCTCTCCAGATCATCCAATTTCCGCTCCTCCCTCTCTTATCTCCTCTGACGATTTCGGCGATGCCGCGGGGGCGCCCGCAGCGCAGGTATCGAGCGAGCCCAGAGCTCGAGTTGTTTCCCAGGCCTTAGGAGAGAGCGCGGCTCGACCCGCTCAGAGGTCTCGCCCCACTCCGAGCGAAGAGAAGGGATCAGGACCGGGAGGGGTTAGGCGCGCGATCGCTGAGATCGGGGGCCGCGGTCTGCTGGGCGACGTCCCCATGTGCATTCGTCGCCAGAGGGAAGCCGCTCGGGAAGCTGTTTCGGGCACTGACATTCCAAGGGGCCGATCCAGATCCCCCGATCGAGGAGATCCGACTCCGGCCGTCCGGGAAGACGAGATCTTGGGAGACTCCAGCGACCCTCAGGGTGAGATCTTGTGGGAAGAGCTCTGCTCCTGGTTCTTCCTCGACCCCGCCTTCTGGACCCCCCCTCCCCGTTTGCGGAGATCTCCGGGGGGGGGGCCTCCAGCGCGTCGAGGCGCGGAAGTCTCTTTCAAGAACCTTCGATTTTTCCGACTCAAATGAATGGGCCGCGACCGCGAAGTCAGGGGCGGTCCGGGTGGTTCCAGTCCCCGAGGCTCAAGTGATTAGGCGCAAGTGTCCCGACAGGATTTTGGGGCCCAGGATGGCCCGGAGGTTAAGGAGGGTCTTGGGGCAGCTCCCGAA